GAATTCTGTCCCTCCCTAGTCCCTAGATATGCCTATGAAAATCCTACTCCACTCATTCACTCAGTATATATTTAGTGAGAAACTACATCTTCCAGGCACAGAGGGAGAGACAGGTGGTCCCTGTACTCACAGAGTGTATAGTATAGTATAGTATAGTATAGTATAGTATAGTATAGTATGCAAATATTAAAGTACTGACAAATGAAAAAAACAGTTACAAAAGGAGTAATAGAGTATAACTGGATCACAAAATAAAAAGAGCTCATAAAAGGGTTAGGGTGGGCTGAGCGAGGTGGCTTATGCCAGCACTTTGGGAGGCCGAGGTGGGTGAATGATTGCTTGAGGTCAGGAGTTCGGGACCACCCTGGTCAACATGATAAAACCAAGTCACTACTAAAATACAAAAATGAGCCTGGTGAAATGTGTCTATAATCCCAGCTACTAGGGAGGCTGAGGCAGGAGAATTGCTTGAACCCAGGAGGCAGAGATTGCAATGAGCTGAGACTGCACCACTGCACTCCAGCCTGGGCAACTACGTGAGACTCCATCTGAAAACAACAACAAAAACAAAAACAAAAACGGGGGTGGTTAGGGCAACTCTCCCCGAGAAGAGACTTTTGTTTAATCTAAGTACCAAAGTACAAAAAGGAGTTAACAGGTGAAAAGTGAGGTTAAAATGTTCTCCGGTAGGGAAAGAATATGGTAAGGCTTCCGAAGCAAGAACTGGTGTGTGGAAACTCTGAAGAAGTAGAAGACCAGTTCAGCTGTGGCACAGAGAAAGCAAAGCAGAGTAGCCTGTGAGCAGGGATAAGGGGAATAGCAGACATGGATGGCATTACATCCCAGATCAAAGTATCCTGCCTGCTATATGCCAGGTAACTATGCATTTAAGAATGTTTAAGGCATGTTTTCTTGCCATCCAAGAACTTGCATTCTTCTGTGAAGACTGACAGGTAAACCTGTAGTGGAATAAGAACCAAACTAAACATATGTGTAACCAGATCAGAGACAGGAGTAATAACTTTTCCTGGCATACTGAAAGAAGCATTCTAGAGGAAATAATGTCTAAGCAGAGGTATTAAAAATGAATACATGGGTTCCCTAAATTGGCTGTGGCTTATCAGGCAAAGGACCAGGACGTGTAAAATTACAGGGACATGAAAAAAATAATCACGGCTTTTCCATAAAGTCATCCTTGATAGCCTGGAAGAAAAAGTGTTTTTATACTTCTCAGAATTGAGGGCATCAAAATAGTTAGTCTACAGGATGATAAAGTACTTGAAGAAAAAGGCTTCATTTTTCCTTATTTTTTCCTAAACCACTAATGGAAGTTTATTATAGCACTTTGCTTATAGAAGACACTAAATATCAGTAAATACAGATGTGTGGAATAAATAATCACATTTGTTGAATTAAAAGTAACTAAGTGATCCCTTATGTGCCACAGGAGTAAGAGAATAAATGTACATTTACTTTCAGTAGCTGGGAAAGAGATTATCAAAGAAGGAAGGACGATATAGTGAAATCCCTTTGACACCAGAAGTTCAAATAGTAGAAGAGGGCTCCAAGTTGAGGTGCCTGGGACTCTCATGTATAAGGAGGCAACAAAAATGAGTGAGAATAACATAACACATAAATTACTCATTGTTTAAAATGTGTAAGACCGAAAAGTTTTATTTTGTTAAAAAATGGTCTACCTACAAATAATGAGATAGTTAAGGATTTGGTATAGTTGTTATCATTTTAGGCAGAGAACAGATAATTTAATAGCTCATCTCTTCTCATATCTAAGGCCTTGAGTTTTAAGAAATCATTTAAATTAACTTCAAAATGTTCTTGCAGACATTATAAACTCTGTCCATACTGATGAATTCCAATGACATCATTGTTTCCATGGTAACTAATGCACTTCAAATGGGGAAAAAGCAGAGAGCAAGACTAAAAACCAAGGGGAAGAAATGAAATAAAGTGGTATAAACAAAGCATAACATCTTTTTGGTATTTACAAAACACTTACTAATTTCAAAGCTTTACCATTACTTAGGCTTTGAGGCTCATAGGGGCCAGAGGAATCTCAAAGGTCATCAAATCCACTTCCCACTCATAGTCAAGACCTTTACAATGTAGCTGAATCAAGACTGCCCAATTGTTCACAGAGTTTATTGCTGGTAATTTCTTACTCATTTACTTGCAAACATTACTGAATACCTAACTTGTTCTGCAGGTTTAAGAGATGATTAAGACCTTCTATCTCTTTTAAAAAATATTGGTAGTTTAGAAGGAAAATAATTCAAATGTAGGATGAAAAAAAGAGAGGGCTATAATAAAGATACAGGGAGATATCCAAAAGGCCAGAGGAAGTAAGTATAAATCCCAACTTGGAAAAATTTCACAGTTCCAGTGACTTTCATTTTCACTCCCACTAAGTCCCACAAACCCAAGGCAACATCCTGGACCTGTCAGGACCCAGAACTGCTCTAACTTGGCAAACTTACATGCTAAGATCAACTTTCTCATCCCAAACAGCTCTTTTACCCTCTAACTGATCCCTGAAGTAGTCCTCTGAGCCTTATGCAGTCTATCAGCCTTCACTTGGAATACCTCCTCATACTCTCTTGCTAATATCCTCAACGTTTATCTTTCAGTGGCATCCACCTAGCAACAGCCTAACCTGGACTTGGTGACCATCCCTCTTCCTCTCTGTTATGTTCCATAGCATTATCTGTCCAACCCTCTGCCTTAGAATCTAGAAAAAAATCTGTCAGAACAGTATGAGATTAAGTATCCAGGTCTACATACAGTTATACAGGTTTACTTAAGGACTGAAAGATAATATATTCTGAATTTGGCAACTATAGATTAGACTCCTAACTAGCAAAGTCCACATAGGACTTGCTCCATAGCCATAGTCACCTCAAATGACAGTGTCTGTTGAAATGGTCTTTTGATACACAAAGTGATAATTTACAGGGGGTAAAATTTTAAAGAGGTCTTGCTCCTGCTCTGTTTAGAATTTTTTCCTCAAGAAATTCATGTTTTTTGGGTAAGCTAGACATATACCTCAGCTCTAGTCTTACAGAATGAGAAGTTAAACATTCACTTACGTGCAAACAGAATGGCTATTATCCTAACTTTGGAGTGATCTGAACAGACAATTGGCCCTATTATCTAATTTCTGTCAGAAAGAAAGATTATAGATTACTTGTTAATGTCATAATTTTTGGTAGATAACCATCTCTCTAACTTTTTGCTGACCTATATTTAAAATCCCATATAATAAGAAACCTAATTTAGTTATCTGGATAGGCATTACTTGTGTCTAGTTTGTCTAAGAAGGCATAATACAAAGTAACATTGCTCAAATTAGGTGCTTTAGAGAGAGTTTTCTGTGTGAGGCAGGCATTTGGTTATCATTGTTTTAATTCAAATTCTTAAAGTTTATAACATAGAACACTGGCCCTAAACTACTTGCTGATGACAATCATAAACCCCCTAGTGCAGGCATCCCCAAACTTTTTACACAGAGGGCCAGTTCACTGTCCCTCAGACCGTTGGAGGGCCACCACATACTGTGCTCCTCTCACTGATCACCAATGAAAGAGGTGCCCCTTCCTGAAGTGCGGTGGGGGGCGGGGGGGGGTGCTGGATTAATGGCCTCAGGGGGCTGTATGCGGCCCGCAGGCTGTAGTTTGGGGACTCTTGCCCTAGTGAAAAACCCTCAGACCACCTGGAAGGTAAATATACAGGCACCTTCCTTATCAGCCTCCTTGATTTCCACAAGAACATGTCAATCCAACCCAGAGTTCTGTGGCTTGCCAATGCTCACAGCACTGTGCTAACTGGCAAAGCAGAAGAGGTACTTGAGATAAATCACCTCAACCACTCTACTACACTATTTTATACTTTTCGAAAGCCCTCTGAGAGATAAACATTTATGAACACTTCCCTTCAAGTCCATTCATTCAAATACATTATTGGTTCTTATCCTGTGTCCTGGTCACTACAGAATCTGATTAAAGTTACAATTCTTTCCATACCAAAACAAATACACTTAGGCATACAATTTAGGGGTAGGGGAGGTGAGAGAGAAAAATCATGAGACTCCTGAAGCTAAGCTACAAACTGAAGTTTAAAAAGCTCTGATGTATATGCTCTAAAATCTGTTTTTGAATTAATAAGCAAGGCCGCTAGCTAGCTACACAGAAGCATCATGTTGGCACTGTACTGAAATGTTTGTTTTAAATTGTACTCCAGCACAATTCCACCTGCTTTTGTTGAGGCACAGTAGAAGAATCCTCAATTTACTGTAAAGAAGGTGACGAGTGTGTTCATTACATACACAGGTTCTTCTTTCTAAGAACCTAGGGAAGATATTTCTCTCTGTTCTCAGCTCTGTCTCTCTTGAGCATCCAGTTCTTTGTTTTTGTTAACTTTGTAGAAATGCAGTTTTATAATGGTACTATATTTCTTTTCCTTTGGCTGCTAGAAAAGTCATGGTACACCCCTAGCATGTATTTAAGTTCCTTAATAGCACACAATTTGTTTACTGACTTCACTTCTGACCCCATCTAATTTTAATTATTTTGTCTAATTTTATTGTACTTTTAAGTAAGTTGAACTGTAGGAAGCAGAAGGAAGAAAGTAATCTTTTTTCATCTGTTTCCCCATAAGTGATCTATTCAAGTCTGTCTATCTAAATAATTTCCTAAAACACTTCTGTAATTGTTTTTCGTCAGTGAGAGCTGCAATTATGAGAGAAGTAGTACTTCTACAGAAAACACTTACCTAAAGGATGTTTTAGAATTCTTCGGGATTAATATAATATGTAGACATGTTTGCACCTATAAGTGTGTTTTTAAAGTAACCATAAATATGAACTAGGACATTCATAAAGCCTTCTGCACAGGACTAAATTACGACTTCAACTGTATTTTTCAAGGACTTGCTTCTTCAGTTGGAAGAGTTTTATATTTTTCAACAGTGAAGTTGTAAATGCTTACAGGCACATGGACTTTGCGAAACATCTCAGCACCCTTGTGTGCATCCATCAATGCAATATCCTGGGGCGTGGAGACAATCACAGCACCTAACCAAAAGATAAACAAAATGCTATTATCTTTTAATTCTTATGGAGAGATTACTTCCAACATTATGTTATTTATATGTGCAAATAGTCTACTACAGTAACTATTTAGGTCATTCATATAAATTTCATATAATGAATGAGAAAGACAAGAAAATATCTACTTTGTTTTGCCTACCTTTGAATCCTCACTTCTATAATCACAACTGGGCTGGGCATAGTGGCTCACACCTCTAATCCTAACACTTTGGGAGGCTGAGGTGGGCAGACCATTTGGGGCCAGGAGCTCGAGACCAGCCTGGTTAACATGGTGAAAACCTGTCTCTACTAAAAATACAAAAATTAGCCAGGTGTGATGGTCCACATCTGTAATCCCAGTTACTTGGGAGGCTGAGGCAGGAGAATTGCTTGAACCCGGGAGGTGGAGGTTGCAGTGAGTCAAGATTGCGCCACTGCACTCCAGCCAGAGTGGCAGAGCAAGACTCTGTCTCAAAAATAAAATAAAATAAAATAAAATAAAATAAAATAAAATAAAATAAAATAAAATCACAATTCAGTGATCAGTGATTCAGGATCTTAAGTCTATTAGTGGGACTTTCTTCCCATTCAGACAATGTGCAAGTTACACAGATGCATAAGGTAGGTCTTACTTTCAAGTTAACAGTCCAATAACCAGGCACGGTGGTATGTGCCTGTAATCCCATCTACTTGGGAGGCTGAGGCAGAGGGACCACTTAAGCCCTGGAGTCCAAGACCAGCCTGGGCAATATAGTGAGACCTCAACTCAAAGAAAAAGGAAGAAGAAGGAGAAGGAGAGGAAGAAGAAGGAGAAGGAGAGAAAGAAGGTGAAGAAAAGGGAGGGAGGGGAGGGAGGGAAGGAAGGGAGGGAGGGGGGAAAAGGGAGAGAAGAGGAGAGAAGGGGAGAGAGAAAAATAAAGGAAGGAAAGAAAGAAGGAATGAAGGAAAGAAAGAAAAGAAAAAACAAAAAGAAAGAGAGAAGCAGCAGTGGTGGCGGAAATATAAGAAGTGGAGGTGGTTGTTAATAGTCTACTTGGGAGACCGAAAAATTAAGCATTACAATACAATATGCTAAAAAAGAGAAGGAGGAGGAAAAAAAGAATGAGGAGATGGAGAAAAAAGGAGGAGGAGAACGAAGAAGAGCAGGAGGAGGAAGAAGAATTTGTTAATATTCTACTTGGGAGACTGAAAAATTAAGGATTACAATACAATATGCTAAGCATTATAACAGAGGTGCGCAGACGGTATCATGGAGTTGTAAAGAAGAAACAGGAAGATCTAGGAGAGAAAATGGTGAAGTGTAACAGATAGAAGGGGAAGGCAGAGACAGGAGAAGCAATGGGGAAAAGTATCCAGGAAGAAGTGATTCTTAAGCTGAGTCCTAGAAGTTTATATTCTTAAAAACTCACACTGGAAAGTAATTTGGTGGGAATAAAGCTGAGGGCTGTGGCAGAAATTCAGATGCAAAATGGCAGAACCTGAACTGAAGTGGATGGAGATGGTGACTTTTCTGGATCTCCACTACTACCCTACAGAAACCAGGTAGTACTAGGGTACAGAGTTTTGACAAAAAGTGCGATACAATTTTTCTTTAGGTGGAAACAACAAAGGCCTGGTTAGGATTGGCAGGGTCTGTGAATTTTTTTTAATTTTGTGGCTCCCTCTAGATGATAACCTAAAATAATTAACATAAACATAATACAGATCACATGGCTGACCATCACCTTACAACTAAATATGCAATGCTATGACAATTCAGAGTCCCAAACTGTTAAATTGGTATCAAGTGGCAGTCAGACACAACTAATGAAAACAGAGGCAAGATTAACAATAAATAACTGATTACACCAAGTGAAGGTCAAATGATACTAGAGAGTATCGCCTGGGGGGATATTTTTAAGAAGTTCAAACAGAGAAAAGTGGTGGGAGAACCAAGTTACCACAAAGCACATGGCAGTATAGGCATGTCAAACTTGAAAGAACCTGTACGACAGCAGTTAGCGATAAATTCATCTTGCAATCAGCATCTTCATTTCAGGAAAAAAAACATCTTTTACATTAAATTAATGTCATAAATTTGAATTTTGCTAATTTTGTAGGTTTTGCTTGTATTTAATTTATTTAATTTTTAACCTATATAATATGTGCTATAAACTTATGGATTTTATAAAATAATAAGTCAGTATGGGGTGTGGGAAGATTATTTTGCCTTTAGAAAAAAGGCCTATTTGTTACTCAAGTTTGAGCTACACTATTTTTAGAATTCAAACAGAAGAGGATTCAAAATTTGATTCTATAGCTGACTACCTGTGTAACTAGATAATGCCTTAACCTATCAGAGTTTTTGCTCCTTCATGTACAAAATGGCATAGAAACACTTAGGTCACAGGGTTAAAATAATTAAATAAACTACTATATACAGATACTTGACATGATGTCTAACATGCAATAAATGATGGCTGTAGCTGCTGTTATCATCATTACTACACTTATTATTGTTATTAATAAAATGCCTTAGACATTGCTGAGAAGGTCATTTTCTAATGGCTATCTGGCAGCTCATTCTACTTTTCAAACTGTTCCATGGATCACTACAGCCTTCTATTTTTATTTATTCTGTCCAATAAACCAAAACTGAGTTAACACTTCTCTTTCCCCTCTTGCGAAGACTGACGGATATCACATCTTGGCAAAAATTACACTCTACACCTCCAATACATTTTCAGAATTTGCCACCTTCTAGATTCTGTTATTAATCTGTTTCCTAGTTTTTTTCATACCTAGTCATTTGGAAGGGATCTAATTCCAGCTCTGGGTGTATCCAGGTGTATAACTAACCTCGAACAAATAATGCAGAATCAGAGTGACTCTGAGTCTTTCTTTAACTGTAAAACTAGTGCCTGCACTAGGTAGTTTCCAAGGATTCACCTATCGCTATACTATTTAGCATTCCATCTTAACTATAAACAGCTTCTAGAACTACCTCTGCTCAACTTGACTGCCCGAGTAATCTTATTTAAGGGATATTAGCCCTCAATCTCAGAACTATTCTCTTTCTACATAAGCAGAGGAATCTCCTTGGCTATTTCCTCCAACTCTTCTCCTTCACTATTTTTAGTATATGTGCTGCCGAAGCGAGCACTCTCCTTCACTATATAATAGTATGTAGGGTGTTCTCTACTGCATTGGCTCTAAAAAGTATTCTTAGCTTTTATATGATATAAACATGTTACTGTTTAAAATACTTTTTGTCTATTTGTAGCATCATTACACAATACAGCTTCTAGGGCAGTTATGATTTATTTTATTGTTTTATCAAACAGTAATGACATAATACTTTGCACATAAAAGATAAAGAAATAGGCACTTAAAAGATCAATGATTTCAACAATGTTCTTATATTTTCAAAATCATCTCCCCTAGATTACTTCAACATAAACTTTAAGTTGGCAATTCCGTGAACTAGGAGTCAAGAGCTTCAGATTCTGGTTTTGATGACAGTCTTAATATAATATATAACCTTGAATAACCAAGTCTCAATATATCTCAATACTCCTCTATAAAATGAATCTATTTCCATAGGCCCTATTTAACTTAAACAGTTATTACATTAAACAAAGGTGAAAGTTAAATAAAAATGTAGAGGGGCATTATTTTAAAATAGCTATAAGATACTAAAGAGAGGGATTAAACTGGCTTGTTTTCTCTGTACTTAATTAACCCTAACACAGTAATACAAATAAGCATCTATGCCATCTGGGTTTCTTTGCAGAATAGTCTGAATAGCATCATTCGAACAAATTAATAACGACATTTGATAAGGACAATGATCATCTTCCATGTCTCGTCAAATGCTCAGGAAGCATATAGATATTTCATGGAACTACATTTATAGAAGTTTTTTTGTGTAAAATGTTTTTGTCTACTATTTGTAGAAATATATGTGGTATTTTGCTGAAATGTGTGTTCTTAATTAAGGACTAAGTCCTTAATCACAATACAATCAGCCTCTGGGTTTTGTCCTGAAAAAAAATTTCTAATCCTGTTGAAGAAGACAAAAACATAACTGGCTCACACATAAATCACTATCTCTTTTGCTATATCGTATATCAAAGTTAGTATAGTATATCATATAAGTTTAGTGTATCATTTAAGTAATCATTTCAGATAGCCCTGGAATGACCTTTAGAATTTATGGTAAGAAAACAATGCATAAAGAAACAATAGAACCTCCAGTAAAATTAAATTTAGTCCTTAATCTAGCATAACCCAAATTGTTAAAAAATTTTATTTTAATTTTTGAGAGTACATGGTAGGTATATATATTTTAGTCCATGAGATGTTCTGATACAGGCATACAATGTGTAATAACCACATCGTGTAAAATGGGGTACCCAGCCCCTCAAGCACTTATCTTTTATCTTATAAACAATCCAATTAAACTTTTAGATATTTTAAAACGTGCAATTAAGTTATTATTGACTGTAGGCACCCTGTTGTGCTATCAAATACTAGTTCTTATTCATTCTTTTTAACTGTTTTTTTTGTACCCATCAGCCATTGCCATCTCCCCATGACCCCACTACCCTTCTCCATCTTGGGTAACTATCCACTACTCCGTATGTCCATGAGTTCAACTGTTTTAATTTTTAGATCCCACAAATAAGTGAGAACATGAAACGTTTGTCTTTCTGTGCCAGGCTTATTTCACTTAACATAATGGCCTCCAGTTTCATCCATGTTGTTGCAAATGACAGGGTCTCATTCTTTTTATGGCTATATAGCACTCAATTGTGTATAAATACCACATTTTCTTTATCCATTAATCTGTTGATAGACATTTAGATTGCTTTCAAATCTTGGCTATTGTGAACAATGCTGCAATAAACATGGGAGTGCAGATATCTCTTTAATACACTAATTTCCTTTCTTTTGGGTACATACCCAGCAGTGGGACTGCTGAATATGGTAGCTCTATTTTTAGT